GTTGTTTTTTAAATTTATATTGTTGTTGTTGTTGTTGACGAGTTTTGTTTTTGTGCTATGAGTGTTGTGTGGTTGTGATCGATGTGATGTGGTGTGTTTTGGCTTTGTAGATGGATGATGTGTGTGGTAGAATGTTTGGCAAGGTCTCCACATTCCTGGTTGCTGTTCCATGGAATACTAGTCATCTTGCGAAAGTGATATTGACCTGTGCTGTTGTGTAAGCCTCTGTGAGGAGGTGAATATGCACGGTCGGACAAACACGACGAGCTTCCATGTTATTTGGTGATAGTTGATTTGTGTGTGTTTGTTATGAGTCTGTCGGCTGTATGGTTGGGGGCGAGGGGCGATAGTATGTTGTGTATTTGTCTTTCAGGATGTGATGGTTGATTGTGAGTGTTTTCAGTGAGGATGTTTTGTATTACTAGTTTGGTTCTGTGTCTTGTTGTGTGTTTGGATTTCACATGTTGTTGTTTGGTTTGGCGTAATTTTCTGTTGTGTATTGAAGATGTTGTGAATGTGGTAGTTGTGAGTATTGATTGTTGGTTTTGTGGTTCATGTAGTGTTTCTCTCTCCCTCTGTGTGTGTGTGTGTGTGTGTGTTAATGAAATCATGTCATTGGTGTGAGGGTGAGGCCACTGGTGGTGTGGTTGGTGGAGATTTTGTTGAGTGGTTGTTGTTGTTGTTGTTGTTGTTGTCGTTCAGCTGTTCTCTTCTTCTACTTCTGCTTGTTGTTGTTGAAGACGGTGATGACAATATGGGTGTTAGTGATAGTGAAGAGGACGACATTGGTGTGTTGGTGATTGTGACGAGTGTAGTGTGTATGATAGGTAGACGGTGTTTGTGTAAGGATTATTGTGTAGTGTGTTCATCGAAGGTGAGGTGTTGGTATTCGATTGTGGTTGTAGGTGTGGATGTTGTTGGTCACTTGGAGAGTCGTGTCGACGTGATGAGTGGGTGTGGGGTAGGATAAGTTGATTGTGACGGTGTCGTTGATGACGATGTTGCTGTTAATTTGTTGTGTGTATTGATGGTGTTGGAGTTGTATTTTTCTTGTTGAATCGTTGTGGTGTTGATGAATGATTTTGAGGTATCGTGTTATTGGATAGATAGATGATGGTGATTTGCTTTGTTGTTATTTTGAAGTGGATGTTTGTTGTGGGAAAGTGAGTGTTGATTGACTGTGAAGTGAATGTACGTTGGAATAATGAGTTGCGTAGTGTGTTGACGACTGTAAGCGAGGTGTCGATAATATTGTGTGTGTTGTGAATGTGTTGTGGTGTGTATTTTGATTGATAATTATAGGTGTTTGATGGTATGAGAGTTGATGTGTTGTTTTAAATTTATATTGTTGTTGTTGTTGTTGTTGACGAGTAGTTTTGTTTTTGTGCTGTGAGTGTTGTGTGGTTGTCATGGATGTGATGTGGTGTCTTTTGGCTTTGTAGATGGATGATGTGTGTGCTAGAATGTTTGGCAAGGTCTCCACATTCCTGGTTGCTGTTCCATGGAATACTAGTCATCTTGCGAAAGTGATATTGACCTGTGCTGTTGTGTAAGCCTCTGTGAGGAGGTGAATATGCACGGTCGGACAAACACGACGAGCTTCCATGTTATTTGGTGATAGTTGATTTGTGTGTGTTTGTTATGAGTCTGTCGGCTGTATGGTTGGGGGCGAGGGGCGATAGTATGTTGTGTATTTGTCTTTCAGGATGTGGTGGTTGATTGTGAGTGGTTTCAGCGGGGATGTTTTGTATTACTAGTTTGGTTGTGTGTCTTGTTGTGTGTTTGGATTTCACATGTTGTTGTGTTGTTGTTTGGTTTGGCGTAATTTTCTGTTGTGTATTGAAGATGTTGTGAATGTGGTAGTTGTGAGTATTGATTGTTGGTTTTGTGGTTCATGTTGTGTTCCTCTGTATGTGTGTGTGTGTGTGTTAATGAAATCATGTCATGGGTGTGAGGGTGACGCCACTGATGGTGTGGTTGGTGGAGATTTAGTTGAGTGGTTGTTGTTGTTGTTGTCGTCGTTCAGCTGTTCTCTTCTTTTACTTCTGCTTCTTGTTGTTGACGACGGTGATGACAATATGGGTGTTAGTGATAGTGAAGAGGACGACATTGGTGTGTTGGTGATTGTGCTGAGTGTAGTGTGTATGATAGGTAGACGGTGTTTGTGTAAGGATTATTGTGTAGTGTGTTCATCGAAGGTAAGGTGTTGGTATTCGATTGTGGTTGTAGGCGTGGATGTTGTTGGTCACTTAGAGAGTCGTGTCGACGTGATGATGAGTGGGTGTGGGGTAGGATAAGTTGATTGTGACGGTGTCGTTGATGACGATGTTGCTGTTGATGTTGATGTTGTTGCTGTTAATTTGTTGTGTGTATTGATGGTGTTGGAGTTGTATTTTTCTTGTTGAATCGTTGTGTTGATGAATGATTTTGAGGTGTCGTGTTATTGGATAGATAGATGATGGTGATTTGCTTTGTTGTTATTTTGAAGTGGATGTTTGTTGTGGGAAAGTGAGTGTTGATTGACTGTGAAGTGAATGTACGTTGGAATAATGAGTTGCGTAGTGTGTTGACGACTGTAAGCGAGGTGTCGATAATATTGTGTTTGTTGTTGTGAATGTGTTGTGATTATCTGTGGTGTGTATTTTGATTGATAGATACTTATAGGTGTTTGATGGTATGAGAGTTGATGTGTTGTTTTTAATTTATATTGTTGTTGTTGTTGTTGACGAGTTTTGTTTTTGTGCTATGAGTGTTGTGTGGTTGTCATGGATGTGATGTGATGTGTTTTGGCTTTGTAGATGGATGATGTGTGTGCTAGAATGTTTGGCAAGGTCTCCACATTCCTGGTTGCTGTTCCATGGAATACTAGTCATCTTGCGAAAGTGATATTGACCTGTGCTGTTGTGTAAGCCTCTGTGAGGAGGTGAATATGCACGGTCGGACAAACACGACGAGCTTCCATGTTATTTGGTGATAGTTGATTTGTGTGTGTTTGTTATGAGTCTGTCGGCTGTATGGTTGGGGGCGAGGGGCGATAGTATGTTGTGTATTTGTCTTTCAGGATGTGATGGTTGATTGTGAGTGTTTTCAGTGAGGATGTTTTGTATTACTAGTTTGGTTCTGTGTCTTGTTGTGTGTTTGGATTTCACATGTTGTTGTTTGGTTTGGCGTAATTTTCTGTTGTGTATTGAAGATGTTGTGAATGTGGTAGTTGTGAGTATTGATTGTTGGTTTTGTGGTTCATGTTGTGTTCCTCTCTCTGTGTGTGTGTGTGTGTGTGTGTTAATGAAATCATGTCATTGGTGTGAGGGTGAGGCCACTGGTGGTGTGGTTGGTGGAGATTTTGTTGAGTGGTTGTTGTTGTTGTCGTTCAGGTGTTCTCTTCTTCTACTTCTGCTTGTTGTTGTTGAAGACGGTGATGACAATATGGGTGGGTGTTAGTGATAGTGAAGAGGACGACATTGGTGTGTTGGTGATTGTGACGAGTGTAGTGTGTATGATAGGTAGACGGTGTTTGTGTAAGGATTATTGTGTAGTGTGTTCATCGAAGGTGAGGTGTTGGTATTCGATTGTGGTTGTAGGTGTGGATGTTGTTGGTCACTTAGAGAGTCGTGTCGACGTGATGAGTGGGTGTGGGGTAGGATAAGTTGATTGTGACGGTGTCGTTGATGACGATGTTGCTGTTAATTTGTTGTGTGTATTGATGGTGTTGGAGTTGTATTTTTCTTGTTGAATCGTTGTGGTGTTGATGAATGATTTTGAGGTATCGTGTTATTGGATAGATAGATGATGGTGATTTGCTTTGTTGTTATTTTGAAGTGGATGTTTGTTGTGGGAAAGTGAGTGTTGATTGACTGTGAAGTGAATGTACGTTGGAATAATGAGTTGCGTAGTGTGTTGACGACTGTAAGCGAGGTGTCGATAATATTGTGTGTGTTGTGAATGTGTTGTGGTGTGTATTTTGATTGATAATTATAGGTGTTTGATGGTATGAGAGTTGATGTGTTGTTTTAAATTTATATTGTTGTTGTTGTTGTTGTTGACGAGTAGTTTTGTTTTTGTGCTGTGAGTGTTGTGTGGTTGTCATGGATGTGATGTGGTGTCTTTTGGCTTTGTAGATGGATGATGTGTGTGCTAGAATGTTTGGCAAGGTCTCCACATTCCTGGTTGCTGTTCCATGGAATACTAGTCATCTTGCGAAAGTGATATTGACCTGTGCTGTTGTGTAAGCCTCTGTGAGGAGGTGAATATGCACGGTCGGACAAACACGACGAGCTTCCATGTTATTTGGTGATAGTTGATTTGTGTGTGTTTGTTATGAGTCTGTCGGCTGTATGGTTGGGGGCGAGGGGCGATAGTATGTTGTGTATTTGTCTTTCAGGATGTGATGGTTGATTGTGAGTGTTTTCAGTGAGGATGTTTTGTATTACTAGTTTGGTTCTGTGTCTTGTTGTGTGTTTGGATTTCACATGTTGTTGTGTTGTTGTTTGGTTTGGCTCAGTTTTCTGTTGTGTATTGAAGATGTTGTGAATGTGGTAGTTGTGAGTATTGATTGTTGGTTTTGTGGTTCATGTTGTGTTCCTCTGTGTGTGTGTGTTAATGAAATCATGTCATTGGTGTGAGGGTGAGGCCACTGGTGGTGTGGTTGGTGGAGATTTTGTTGAGTGGTTGTTGTTGTTGTCGTTCAGGTGTTCTCTTCTTCTACTTCTGCTTGTTGTTGTTGAAGACGGTGATGACAATATGGGTGGGTGTTAGTGATAGTGAAGAGGACGACATTGGTGTGTTGGTGATTGTGACGAGTGTAGTGTGTATGATAGGTAGACGGTGTTTGTGTAAGGATTATTGTGTAGTGTGTTCATCGAAGGTGAGGTGTTGGTATTCGATTGTGGTTGTAGGCGTGGATGTTGTTGGTCACTTAGAGAGTCGTGTCGACGTGATGATGAGTGGGGTTGGGGTAGGATAAGTTGATTGTGACGGTGTCGTTGATGACGATGTTGCTGTTAATTTGTTGTGTGTATTGATGGTGTTGTAGTTGTATTTTTCTTGTTGAATCGTTGTGTTGATGAATGATTTTGAGGTATCGTGTTATTGGATAGATAGATGATGGTGATTTGCTTTGTTGTTATTTTGAAGTGGATGTTTGTTGTGGGAAAGTGTTGATTGACTGTGAAGTGGATGGACGTTGGAATAATGAGTTGCGTAGTGCGTTGACGACTGTAATCGAGGTGTCGATAATATTGTGTTTGTTGTGAATGTGTTGTGATTATCTGTGGTGTGTATTTTGATTGATAGATAATTATAGGTGTTTGATGGTATGAGAGTTGATGTGTTGTTTTTTTAAATTTATATTGTTGTTGTTGTTGACGAAGTTTTGTTTTTGTGCTATGAGTGTTGTGTGGTTGTGATCGATGTGATGTGGTGTGTTTTGGCTTTGTAGATGGATGATGTGTGTGGTAGAATGTTTGGCAAGGTCTCCACATTCCTGGTTGCTGTTCCATGGAATACTAGTCATCTTGCGAAAGTGATATTGACCTGTGCTGTTGTGTAAGCCTCTGTGAGGAGGTGAATATGCACGGTCGGACAAACACGACGAGCTTCCATGTCATTAGCTGACAGTGGATTTGTGTGTGTGTGTTGTGATCGATGTGATGTGGTGTGTTTTGGCTTTGTAGATGGATGATGTGTGTGCTAGAATATTTGGCAAATTCTCCTGGTTCTTCTTTGGGTTCAACATCGCACTTGCAACCAATGTGTAACAGTTCGAATCTCCGCTCTGCATATCGCACACCGTGGTAACCAGGAAAATGAATGATGGCAATCAATAGAGTTTTTTCATGTGTAAGTGTGAAACAGAATGAGTAATGCTAGAAAGCTCTATGAATGATAACAGAGTCTGAATACATCTGCGTAAGCCATTGACAACGATTTTGTGCCACGTCACCTATTATCTCTTGGCACTGATTCTTAGAGTCCCGAGGGCCCCAACCAGGATGTCTGCATCTCCCTGCCTGACTCTGTTTAACTGTCAAGCATTTGATGGATTGATGCCATGTTTTTGTTTGGCCACCACTTACCCTTCTCCAACCGGCACTTATATCAGCTAGTAATGCCCGTCGGGGGAGGCGATGGTTAGGCATGCGCAGCACGTGGCCTAACCATCTCAATCTATGTAACTTTATAGCCTCTTCGATTGATTTCCCCTCCTTGCCCAACACTACGCCTAACGGCAACATTACTTACCTGATTATGCCGCCTAACGTGAGAAAGAGATCGTAGACATCTACGATCAGAAACAGTCAACATTTTCATGTCTTCAACTCGTATTGGCTATGTTTCAGAGCCATAGAGAAGGACGGAGCGAACTGCTGAGCAGTACACACGTCCCCTGGTTGATAGTCGGATGTCACGCCTACGCCAGAGATGGTGTAAATTAGCGAAAGCAGCCCGAGCTTTTTGTATACGTGCGGAGATTTCGTCACCAATAAATCCGTTGGTGCTGATACAACTTCCTAAATAGGTGAAGTGGTCAACATGTCCTATCACTTCACTCCCTATCACTAAGCTAGGGATAGACGTAGTCCAGTCCTGTAGCAGCATCTTTCATTTTACAGGGGCGAATCGCATGCCAAACATACGAAGATTGCTGCTCAAGGTGTTCAGAAGGCTCTGCATTTTGTCAGCATCCTCCCCTAACAGGACTATGTCGTCTGCGTATTCTAAGTCTATAAGACTATTCCTTGGTAACAAGTCGTTAAGTTCAGTTAAGGATACTCCCATCAGCATATCTATGATGAAGTTAAACAGAAAAGGGGAAAGTGGACATCCTTGACGGACACCACTGGTTGTTATCAATTCAGATGACAATTCCCCATAAGCCCTTACACAGCTACGTGAGTTTGAGTAGAGTGCTTTGATTAGTGCAGTGTACTTTCTTGGCACTCCCTTCACAGTCAAACATTGCCATAGTACCTCTCGATCCACGGAGTCGAAGGCCGCCTTCAAGTCAAGATATATGGCAATTGTTGGACGCCTAAAAGTGTGTCTATGTTCTAGGATCTATCGGAGAGTGAAGATATGATCTATGCACCCTCTACCTTGCCTAAAGCCCGCTTGATTTTCCCTCGTTTGTTCCTTCCGAGTTTGGCTTAGTCTGTGCATGATTACTGAGCCTAGGATTTTAGAGGCTATGTTCGTCAGGCTGATTCCTCTATGATTATCACATGAGGACTTGTCTCCCTTCTTGGATATTGGTATAATAAGTGACTTACCCCAATCTGATGGAACCGTCTCTGATTCCCAGACGTTACCTAGTACCTTAGTTAAACTATATACTAGCATGTCACCCCCATATTTAAACACCTCCGGAACAATTCCGTCGGGTCCTGCCGCTTTGTCTCGTTTCAGATTACAGATAGCTTTTGTGACCTCACTTACAGACGGCGGGCCAGTGTCTATATCCCATTCGGGTGTGTGCTGGATGGCGGGGAGGCTCAGTGTGGCTGTAGGCAAGTTAAATTGTTCCTCAAAGTGTTCTTTCCAGCGTTCAAGGCGGCTATCCTGACAGCTAATTAAGGAGCCATTTTTCTCACAAATAGTCTCACTTATGATTTGCCTTCTCCCACCCGTTTCCCTGATGAGTCTAAAAAGTTGTTTAGTGTTGCCTATCGCCGATGCTTTTTCCATCTCTATCGCCTTTGTCACCCACCACTGTTCACGGTCCTTGCGGAGACTTTTCGTAAGTGCAGCTTGTGCAGCCTTCGCTCCTCATTGAATTCGGAGCTCGCCGGAATAAGTCTTCTAGCATCTATCAGTTCGGATGAGGCAGTTGAAATCCAATGGTTTTTACTCATCTTTGGATTTACTTTATTTACAGCTGTATCTATGGCTGACTGAATATTCTTCCAGACTTCTTCAGGGTGAGCACAGCTATCGAACTTAGTAATGTGTTTAGCCAGTTCTTCCTCAAATCGGGACTGAGTTTCGTGATCGAGCTGGGGACGTTTTCTACGTTCGTTCAGTCGTAAGCACACACGAGCGTGGACCAGTGCGTGATCGGTATCTACACACGTGTTCCAGAAGGAGCGACAATCCCCTACCGACCCACGCCAACGATAGCTTATTGCTATGTGGTCTATTTGTGTCGAGCGTTGATTTGATGATGGGGGTCGCCAGGTCGAACAGTGTCTCTCCTTGTGTTTGAAGTTAGTGCTTACAAGAAACAAATGATTATCTGAACAGAACTGTAGGAGACGGTCACCGTTGTCGGTTCGCTGGCACGGAATTCCGTATGTGCCACCGACATTCTTCTCAGATTGACGCAATTTTCCTACTTCAGCATTAAAGTCACCAGCTAAAACGACTATATCTGAGCGTTTAGCCTTTCGCAGCAAACTAGACAGCTTTTGGTAGAACTCATCCTTCGTTTCATCCGAACTGCAGTCAGTGGGGGCGTAGGCGGAGATTACGAAAAGGCATCGGCGAGTAGTGCAGTCCTTTCTCCTTTTCACTGATCCGTTCAGACGGACAGCACACATTCGGCAATCTACCAGGATCCAGTCAAGTAATGTCTTTTCTGCCCTAGAACTCAAAGCTATCCCAACACCAGCTAATCCTCGTGAGCTACCTGTGGCATCTCTTGACACCCTCAAGGTGAATTTTGCAGATTCATCCTGTTGGCCAGGTGGGGTTAGGTGAATAACCACACTTGGGTCTTGTATGCGTGTTTCTGAAACACAATATACATCAATGGCTCGGGATGCCAGAGTCCTGGGTAGTGATGCTTGTTGTCCTATCTGGCAAAGTGTCCTATATGGTTCGCTCCTATTTGAAATTGGTGGCGTGGCTTTAGGAGACTATCGGTAGTGGTTTTTTGGCTTCCGTCGTTTTCAGTGCACACAGAGTGAAGAGCCGTCAAGTAGAGGAGTTGCGTTAGTAGAAGGAAGGCAAGATAATAGAGATAAAGATGAAGACAAAGATGAGTGAGGATTAGAGAGGTTTCGCGTGCATTTCGGATTGTGAGGGCGATTGTTACTTCCCGAGTGCCCACACCGTGGAAGTTGGTTGCGTGACCGCAGAGCCCAGGGGACAGCTGCTTGAGGCCGGTCACACACGGCCTGTTTTTGTTTGTTGTTTTTTATTTGGTGTGTCTCAGTAGCATATTTGTCACTTCTGCCCTGTGACACGGCAGCAGGAAGCGCTGTCGTTGTTAATCCGGGCCCCGACCGACCCGGCATGATATTTTGTGATTTACTTTGAGTCATAGCATTGGGTTGGGTAACTGCTTTTTGTCTCAACGCTATCCAAACAAAGTTTCTGGCATGGTAGGACCTCAGGCGACATAAGTCTCAGCCAGTAGAGCTTGTTGGGTCTTTGCGGTGTTCAAGCCCGACCACCAAGTCAAAGTACCAGCTTTCGGTCGGGACATTCCTGGTTGCTGTTCCATGGAATACTAGTCATCTTGCGAAAGTGATATTGACCTGTGCTGTTGTGTAAGCCTCTGTGAGGAGGTGAATATGCACGGTCGGACAAACACGAGGAGCTTCCATGTTATTTGGTGATAGTTGATTTGTGTGTGTTTGCGTTGTGGGTTGTGTCTCCGTATATGATCTTATGCTCGTATGGAAGAGTGGATACTTGCTCCAGTGCATTTATAAGTTGTGTATCGTAATCACTAAATGTGCCAGATGCTCTGTAGATACATCCTATTAGTATCGTGACAATATTTAAGTCTACGGTGACCCATAGGGTGTCGTGCATGTCATTGAGTTCCCTATTTTCTAGCTGTAGTAAAGTAGGTGTTCAGGAAGTACTTTAGGCAGCCTCCTCCCTTACCGCCGCTCTTGTCACACGGAAAGTGCGTGTACCCATCGATGCTTATCTCTTCGTCTGGTGTATTGGAGTGACACCAGGATTCAGTAAGAATGATTATTGGGGGTTTCAATACCAGCGTGTGTGCCCTGAGCATCGGCAGTTCGTTTAGGATAGATCTAGCATTAATAAGGATTAAGTAAAATTGAAATTTGAAGTAGTGTTTGAAGTATTTAAGCTCGTTGATCAGGCTCAAGTGTGGATCGGCATGCGCTGGTTCCTCATGGCATAAGAACCCTGTGTTGCAATTAGTGTGAGTACCATATTCACCTATGTCTATTGAGTTATTATTATTGGATGCACTATAGGATGTGGTAGTTCTAAGCTTGGGTAAGTTGGAAATTTGGGCAGAAGTTCTTATTTGGCCTATCCTTGTACGAAGTCAAGGTCTCTATATTTCTTGATGCGTTCCATTGAATCACTAGTTATCAGATTGTTCCCACAAACTAAAGACAGAAAGACAGCAACCATGTTATTTAACCATAAACCAAATTATGTAATTTAAATAATACTTATCCATGCCTGTACAACTGGTGTGTCCTACACAGGTAGGAATAAATATGTACCTTATTATATTATCATTACTAGATATGCTTGCCAATCGTATATGTAGTTTATCATATTGATGATT